AAAATTTTAACGAAACAGTGATAATATTTTGTATGTGAATTTTTAATTTGATGCAGACAGACGTTTCATTTAAACATTCTTTGTTGCAAATCCTCGCGCCACACCAGTTGAGAACCATCAGTGTACACTCTGACAGTGTCGTTGCTAACAAGGGCCATGCAAGCAGATGTAATTTCTGAGTACGCAACACTTTCTGTCACGTATATTTTGAAAACTAATAAAATGTTAATTTACACGTAGATACTGTATGTATAGGTATGAATCATGTTCGTATATGAGATGTGCCTATATCTGCAGTAAAATCTGAACGAAACAGCGATGGAGCCTCCCATTTTGTTTTCGATTGCTGCAGATGTTTCTCTGTGTAAGGCTTCCATTTCTGTGTCTGATGAGGTGCAGTCAGGCTTTTATTATCTTGCAAGTATTGTAGTAGAATGCTATGTTTGTTTCGCCATTCATTCCGTGTGCATTTCAGAGGTTTGCATACCCCCACCCCACCACAAAAAAAAAAGGCGAACGAAAATTGGTGGCTTGGGTGTCAGAAGAAGAACATGATGTTTCATAGTAATGGAAAGGCGCTGTGCATCTTCGTTTTACACTGTGGTCTTGTGAACTGCATGACGAAACTGAAAGCAGCGAGGACGACCAGGCAAATCTCTTAGTCTCATATGCACAGATAAAAAATTGTTGCGTCTATAGAGGTGGGAGTAAGTACGTTATTGTAGTATTTTTGTTCGTGTGTGGTCGATGGTTAGAGGACAAAGCAAGAAAGCATTTTAAATATATTTTCGAAGTTGTGTGCCAACTAGCCAGCCCAGCGTATATACGTACTAGAGAAATTACTTATTGGTCTCCACGACACATGTGTATAGGTCAGAACCTTCATTTGTCTGTGGTATAAGGCTCGGGCTGGAGACCCCCCCCACCCCACCCCCAGTATTAAGGTGTGACGACGGGGAGCTTCAGAGAGAAAAGGCCACTTAACTGCGTGTGAGGCGCAGTTGCAGCAACAGCAGGTAGAATATATATACTGCTAGTCTATTTCATCATGTATTCATTACTTTCACGACAAAATACTGTTTTATGTAACTTTTCTCTTGTCTAATTTAACCTCGCAATACATGGAATTCGCTTACCTTTCGGCAACCTGAGTGTCCTTGAAATACAGGAATACGACAAAAATTAAGAGTCAGTTCCCTGATAAAATTTCTTGCATGTTCTCCGATTGTAGTAGTTAGTTAGTTATTGGAGAGGGTGGGTTTTCCCATGCACTGAGACCTGTATTGGTCCATTGTGCTTCCCTCTAGGATTTCTACCAGTCTCTATATCCTACCGGTACTGGTGCTTACCATCAGTCCCGCCCAGCCAGCGAGACCGGCTCTACTAGCTGAGAGGTATCTATAATGCTTCCCCCATCTACCATAGGTATTAGAGACGGCTTTTGGGCGGGAAACGTCCGTTAATTTGGCTCAGTGACCTCCTTTGGAGATATGAGGTTCTTTTACGTGCCGTAAAGCTACGACACGGGACCCACGGCTTAAAGTCCCTCCCGGAGGACTTGTTCCCTGAATTTTTCCGCCCTTAAAAATTCGACGACCTCCGCCGGGTATTTGAACCCGCGTACTACGAGTCATGAGGTGGGAACGTTACCTCTAGACTACGGAGGCCGCTTCCGATTGTAGTAGCTCCAAGTTTAGAGGTTCAGCAAGTGTACTGTTCGACATGATATTAGTGACGACAGATTTCAAGCGTGGCTAGCATGTAGGCCGACAGTTTCTGAAGACATTCAAACTTTAGTTTATTAAACCTCAGTCCAACTCCTGCAACAGAATGAAGGACAGAGTAATCGAAATTACAGGAATACTCCATGGGAAAGTAAATATGGAATTATATTCGTATGGTTGCATTCCCGTTTGTCTCGACTGACGCATAGACTTAGTTAGTTAGTTAGTTAGAGAGGGTGGGTTTCCCCATGCACCGCGACCAGTTTGANTGATATTCTACCAGTCTCTATACCCTACCGATACTGGTGCTTACCATCAGTCCCGACCAAGCCAGCGAGTTCGGCCTCTACTGGCTTTGCGGTATCTATAATGCTTCCCCCATCTATCAGAGGCGTTAGAGACTACTGTTGGGCGGGAAATGTCCTTGAATTTGGCTCAGGGACCTCCTTAGGAGATATGAGGTTCTTTTACTGGCCGTAAAGCTACGACATGGGACACACGGCTTAAAGTCCCTCCCGGAGGACTTGTTTCCCGAATGTTTCCGCCCTTAAAAATTCCACGACCTCCGCCGGGTTTGAACCCGCGTACTACGAGTCATGAGGTGGGAACGTTACCTCTAGACTACGGAGACCGCTTGACGCACAGACGTAACTTAGTGGCTGGCTGTGCTGCCACATTTCTGCTTGTTAGAGATACAGAAGTCCACAAAATACTGTACGAACCCGGTACTTCAATTACAGCAACAACTGTACTCAATTGCTGCAGTCCGGTCATGAAGGTATGTTCAGACTTTTTAGTAGAAATTTAGAACTAATTTTTGTTATATTGGCCGCTTCCCTAGTTTGCCAGGCAAAGAAACGGGATTTGTAACTTCATTCACATTTTGTTGTAATTCATTCTAAATTTCCATTGCATTCTTCATCACGAAGCACTGTGCTTTGCAGATACTGTCCCAGTGGCATGGAAGATACACAGTGTGGCGACGTAGTTCCAGGACTGGCAAGTAAAATATGAAGTACAAGGAAATAAAAAATTGCTGTATTGCTATTCCAAATTATCTTCGCCAACTTTATCACATTCCCTGTATCGTCTAAAAGGGTTTTGAAAAGTCAGCAAAGGCCTCAAAGAGAGCGGCTCTCATTTCGACCGTCGCGTTTTTCTTAACATCTTCAACTTCCTGGAACCTCTTTCCTTTGAGGGCATTTTTTACCTTAAGAAAGAGAAAAATGTAACCAAGAAACTTGGAATTGTCTTGATAAGTCTGGATGAAGTCTTGGCATGATGTGAGTCTCTGTTGCGTCTGCTCACCCGTGAGTCTCTGTGCGACGAACTTTGCGCACATCTTCCTCTTATGTAAATCTTCATGGAGAATCTGTAGAATCATCTCCTCATTCATGTTTAATTCATCCGCCATCATTCTGAGAGTCCATTGATGATCCATGTCACAATTTCACGGAAACCTGCAACTGTGTCAGAGTTTCGAGAAGCTGAAGGAGACTCGCTTCTTGGATAGTATTGCAGTTCCTCACGCCAGTCTTTAAGTCGTTTCAGCATTCACATATGCTGCTACGATTTAAGGCTTTATTGAAGTAGACAGTTCGCAACATTTCGTAAGTTTCTGTTAGTCTTTTACCCAATTCAAAACAAAATTTGATTTTCATTCATTGCCCCATGTCTAAAAAGTGACAGCATTTAAAAACACAAGTATTTTTTTATTATTACTCTTAGTGGGTTGAGATTGAGTACACTTGGTACTGGGACTATTATTGGCCTATTGTACCAGCCCCAGATGATAGACGATGGTGATTTTGGAGCAATTTGTGGAATGAGAACTGGCAGGAGAAACCAAAGTACTCGGAGAAAACCTGCCCCAGTGCCACTTTGTGCGCTACAAATCCCGCATGACAAGAACCGGGCTCAAACCCTGGCCGCTGCGGTGGGAAGCCTGAGCTATGTTACGGCCCTAGAAGCAGAAGTAACTCAGTGAGCTGTGATCGGATGTAGTGACCCCTGTCAAATGCTGGTAAGATATGTAGCTACACCGAGCTGCCAGTAGTTCATTTCATCGCCGCCTAATGTAAATGCTGCAGCACCAGTCCGGGAACTTTAGTGCCAAACCACTTAATGCAAATTGTCACGGTAACGGATATATTCCTTATTTTGTGTGCTTCAGTTGAAATTCACTTTAATCTGATTGTAGAAGAGTTTTATTCAGTGTATCATGATCACAAGTACCCGCAACAGTGTTCTTTAGCGTAATTATTGGCGTGTACTCGACATGTTCGTCGAGAGCCTGGATCAAATACATCTGTCTGTGGAGGGGTGAGGGCAACATTATCCGCAATCAGATGATACACATGGCTGTCCACTGTAACATTCTTCACTAACTCGTCTTCTCGATCGAATGGGTTAAACATGAAGCTGTCAGATCAGGGAAACCATTTCACGCCATGATCCATTAATAAGATGCTCAAAGAATATCAACCTAACATGGAACAGCTGCATACTGTAGCACTTCCATCGACTGTATAAGCGTCTGAAAGGAAATAAAATTCAGAGATGCAAGATTCAGATGCTTACAGATATCATTGCTGCAGTTGAGTAAAACGTTTCCTTAAATTTCTCGGACTCCAGAATCCAAAGTACAGGAATATTTTGAAGGAACCTGAAGTTACGAAATGAGACAACTTGCAACTCGACTTATTTAGGTGAGTCCATTAAATTTGAACCTATATTAACGGAATTTCAGGCTACTCTACTTTGATGTATAACTGATTAAACCGAAGACAGCTTAGTGGATTAACGGAAAGTAATTGTTCGGGAGAATTTGCATACGGAGCAGGTGCAAGATTAGAGCATGAGTTACGAAAGCTTCCAGTGCTTAGTTACTTCTATAGGCCGAGCCATAGCTGAAGCGGTTAGTCGCTGGCTTCCAACCCCGGCAGCCGGGTTCGATCCCGGGTCTGGTTAAGTAGGAATTGTGGTGGAAAATGTGACGCTGGGGCAGGTTTCTCCAAGTATTTCAGTTTCCCCGCCCAATCTTTATTCCACCAAATTCTCCAACATCATAATCACTCAGGACAGGTACAGTATGCCAATCAATGGCCGCCGTGCCGAGTGGACCAAGTTGGACTCCATCTCACACTAAGCGAAAAATGAGTTACTTTTACACTTCGAAGGCAATTTTACGAGTAGTATGGTTCAGCAATTTTAAGATCTATATACACTTACGGAAATTGATTTTTGGCGACGAATTTAGTGAAATTTGGTTTTCAGGTGGACTTGCTGACGGAAGTTGTGCTGCATGTGAGACTCTGGAGAGAACTGTTCACGTACCTGGTAAGCTCTGTAGCTGTTTCAGCAGCTAAGATTCATCAGCAAATTTCTCAGAAATTTTATAAGTAATTTGAAATTAAATACGCCATAAAGATAAAAATGTGTTAAATCCTTCTGTGTGTTGCGGTCACACAAAATTAGTCCTGACTTCAAATTCGTGGGGTGTCTGGTAACATGCCATTGCATGTGACGATTTCGCATATAAGTAGGATCAAGTAACTTGGGTACGACGAATTCGAATTAATGGCCGCTACTTTTTGTATACTTCAGGACTCCAAAAATAATAACAGTGACTGTAACACGCGCAACGTTATAGAGGCATCGAAGAGTTGAACTCGTCGATATTTCACGATGATTTTCTGTTATTCGTGTACAAAGCCAAAAAGAGTTTTAAGAGAAGCTAAGAATTATAGAAGAATTTTCTTGTCGATTCAGTTACAAAATGAAGTGTCCATGGAAGCAAAAAGATTATAATTTTAATATTATTTTCTGGTACAACTTCTTAATATATTTAATCGGCAATTACATGAATGCTTGTTTTATACTCTACCTGCAAACTAATCAATAGTACTGGAAGACTGAAGCCATTAGTCTGTCACGTGATGGAGAAATTCCCCGCCCTATATGGAAAGAGAAGATTCCTTATCATATTCGCAAGTTTCATCCCTATCCTAAGCCAAACGAATTCATTCCACGCCCATAATCCCTGTTCTTTAATAACAGTTTTGTACTGCCTCTTGTACATGCGCCTAGTGCCCCCAAGGGAACGCTTCTCCACAGGCAGATTCTGAATGGGGCCCACGTGGCGTGTAACACTCGGAATTACTGAGATTTTGAACTTTGTATTCTAGATAGAGTTATAGAACACGATTGTTTAGGTTATTGGATCTGTCTCCTTTCTCAGGTGAAGGGGGGAGACAGTTATGTTGTTGGGTTCAGTGACTGATGCTATCCATTTGTTATGGACCCAACACAGCAGGTCTCTCCCCCTAACCTGAGGACGGAAACACATTCAGATTCCGAAATATTGTGTTCTTTAGCGTTTTTTAGAATACCGGAAAAAGGACAAAGTTCCAAACTCCAGTGATTCTGAGTATCTATAGTCTTTAAGGCAAGAAGCTTGCATTTCTCTTGTCTCAAGTGCATGCAACATGCCTGGCTCATCTCCTCCTCCTTAATTACTCAAAAGAAAGAATATTTTGTATAGATCACAAATTATGAAGTTATCATTGTGCTATTTTGTCTGTACCCTTGTGACCTCCCTCTCAAGTCCAAATGCTCCCTGAAATACCCTGTTCCGAAACACTGTCTATCGAGAGTACCTTCCGTCTCTGTAATTCAAGAAATTAAACGTCTAATTATCTAATTAGGCATGCCTGTCATTCCCGCATCAATTAATTGTCCTGTGTAACCCTTAAGTCTGTCTGAGGGTCACAGCTAACCGCGCCCTGATACATTTCGCCGAATTTACTCTAAGAGAGGGGAATCCGCTTTAAGCTTCAGATAATTCATCATTTTAACTCCATTTGTATTCCTGTTTTGCTTACAGCACTAATGTCTCCCACTCGTATTGTCATTTTAATGTGTGGTTCTACTGGTGTAATATTCCGTGAAAATATTTCTGGGCACTGGCTTCAGTCAGCAGTTCGTGGAGTCGGTCCCTACTTAATTTACAGCTTATTGGAAAACGATTGTGGCAGTTCTGTTTCAGCCAGTCGACCTCCTACAACCACTGTGTTTACTTCCTTTGTTTTTGTAACACACGACCCATTTCTTGTATGCCTTAAAATTATTTACATCGAAATACTGTAAACTACTTTTTCAGTAAATGCAGAAATAACTCCCAAACAAGCTGAAACCTCAGCAATTAAGACCGATATGCCCAGTACACCGATACAACGCTCAGTTGAAAACGAATACTGTGAATGCTCCCAATCTACTATTAGCAGTTTGAAAGACGCTGCATCAGATAGAGCAGGTATTCCAAATACAGGCAAGTTTACTCACTCGTACTGCAGAGAAGAAAGTAACAAACTGGCCTCTTTCCGACTTCTACCAAGACTTGCCTTCAGAGTTAATGTACGGAGTGCCAACTTCTAAACTTTCAATACATTTTCTAGAGATGCGCAAGGACCGATGTCCCAGGGGAAGAATGCTACAATCGGAGATTCTCATCGGTCATCATTCTTCCGTTTCAGACACCTGCTTATGTATGGCTAACCACGTATGTAGGTGTTTGGTTAGGAGAGGAAGTGCAACTGTGTGCCGACGACCGAATGATAAAGAGATATCAGAATCTTATCCCCAGTTTCCGGTCCGCCATCCGGCGTATGCAACCTACATATTCTCGAATGTCCACAAAAGAATTCATAAAAATATTTGGCATAACAGAGAATCCTTCCTGAGAAGCTTACAGTCGCTCACATGGTCAAGAAATTCAGTGCGTCTGATGGAACCAGAAGGTTACTTACTGTATGAACAAGAGACCACTGCTAGAGCTTGTTCAGAGCCAGAAGAATTGCAACCACAACTTTGCTCCAGATTTTCATACGATTCGCAGTAATATTATCCTCTGATCTCGCCTAGATTTTGGGGTGCCCTTAAATTGTTCGCCTCTGCCATGAATGCTACATACCTTATCCAACTTATGCTCCTTGGTTTCCTCACTTTATTAATATTTGGTGAAGAGTACAAATTACGTAGTCTTCCTTGGCCTTCTCTTGCTTCTCCAGATATCTTCCTTAGCGCCTTGTTGTCACACAAGCATAATCACTTATTCTATTAATATGTGAGAGCAAAATTTAGACCCCTACCAAATGTGAAGTAAAATCATGCTTTTTTCTTTCTTACAAAGAAATCTGTCGTTCCTCTTGCCACGAACTTTACTATATGACAATGCCTAAGTTTTTTGTTTATCAATAATATTTGTGCTTAAACACCGCAACGAGTGTGCTAGAAACAGGTTACAATTTTTTCAGGGGTGAACTTGCATTAAATTTGAGGTCGCTATTGCTCATACTGTGTTCGTATCATAGTAAACAACAAGGCCATAATGTTTCTGCCTTTTGTGGTACTAGTCAGCGTTACTGAGGCAGGAAGTCATCCAGTGACAATAATCAGACCGAAGCGCAGATCAGCTATTAGTGCAGATGGACTTATTCGTACTCTGGCAGACGCACGTGTTATTTGTAGACCCTACATCTACTTTAGCAATGTGATAGCAACATCCTAGAAAGAGTGCAACCCGCTGTAAGATCCACGGCTTGGAATTCTGTTGAAGTATCCATAAATAATGCAGAGAATAGAAAGCTCTTAGAATACGAAGTAGAGCACAAGCTAGGTGCTACCTCGCGGGCAACTTGGCATCATGTGTAAGTATAGAGATAAAGAACGAAAACTGTTCAGAAGAATGTCACGGAATCAGTGCAGAATACCGTAATTTATGTATGCGTAAAGTGTTTTACGTCAAGAAAACCATCGAAATTTTATTTCCTTCATGTTGGCCTTATGCATTTTTAGGGTTCCTGTCTGTTCTCAGAGATTCCGCCTTCCAACTCTCCATGTTTCATAGTGGAGGTAAAAGGTATTTCTCAATTTCATGTAGGTCTCCTTTTTCTCCTTCGTTGCGGTGTCCAATAAAACAATTTTCGGTAACCTTTACCTCATCCTTCGGCTCAGTTTTGTTACACAATCTCAGGGCTATAATTTCTAAATTATTTTCCAGATTTAAGTAATGTGATTTGCATCTATAATGTTGCTCTGACTTTCCCGTAAAGAGTTGTCATTCCAAAGCCAATTCCCATCCTGAAGGATCAGCGTCTTTCTATTAGTCTGGTTCCGGTCCTTCCACCTGTACGGCTTGGATACCCCAAGTAGCGTGAGTGTCGGGTAAAAGAGCTATAGACCCCCCCCCCTCGGTTCACAAGGTTAGAGCTTAGGGGGAGGTATACTCGAAGAAAACTTTCATTCTGCGCCTTCCAACTTGCAGTTCGTTAGTAGTGGTATTGATGGCATATGCAGAAATGCATTACAGGTACGCCATATAAAAAAGGTATAGCTATCCCTCTAACAGGCCGCGGAAGCCCATAGGGTTGTGAGACGTCGAGTTTCCCAAATTTCTTGGACAACCGACTCACAGTTGGCGGTAAGGTCAGCCTTATGTGCCGGCTGCACTTTTCCGCCAAGAAGATTCCTGGTTCTCATTTCTCTTAGAGACCCAGTCGACTTCAGGGCCATAGTGCGGCTGAGAGGATCTAGTCATCTGAAAAATCCAGCGACTTAATTGAGAATCACATCCACGACCTTTCGGATTGTAACATAATGCTTCAACCAACTCCTCTACATCGTGCCCCACAAGTCTGCCATATAGCCAGTAACTGTGTTTCCAAAGAAACGTTGTCGTCGGGATGGCTTCTTCTGTTTATTTGCTGGATTTGTTGCCGTGAAGGGACAGTCCTACTATCATGTAACAAGACACACGAAGTCTGAATTTATGTAAAATTATGCATTGGCAGGAACACGCGAAATTCATTTCAGACCTACTGCAGGAGTTGACCTGTGAACTGAATCACGGTAGATACACAAGATCAGAATCCTGGCTGTCATTCCCTCAGGAGTATAAGGATTCATATTTGGTTATTGTAGAGTGAAACCTGTTGGCCATTTCTATGAATTGCCATCCTGTCACAGGTGGTCCGTTCTTCTAGCAACAGAAGAAATCGGCCGAATGTCTGTTCTGCGCATACTCCACTTCCGTTCGGTTCAAGCTCTGCTGTTAGAACTATCAGAGGCTTTGTATTCTGCGTTTGGACATCCCTTTTAAACAGAAAGAGAGAGACGCCAATTTTTGTATATCGAGCGATGAACCAAATAACATTCGCTACAAATGAAACAATGACATAATTACGTTTGCCTGACAGACGCGAAATGGACGCACCCAAATATAAGTGTATCCCCCTTCACTCAGCCACATGATCACACCCAAATTGACGTATGAAACAAAA